CTCCGAGCCAACTCCCATGTCAGAGGATGAATGTCCTTTACACATAAAATGCCCATTCTTAAAATTTCTGATTCGGGGTACTGAAAATTCTATAGTATTTCATGTAAATTACAATGATTTCTTAGGGAGAAATAAATCACATTGGTTTCTATTAAGTTTAACTTGTACACTTTGTGCTTATGTTTTGGGTTAATTTGTGTTTTGTATTTTTTGAGACAACCTTGAAAAAAATTACAAATACTTCAACATTTTTAGTAACGCTACCATCGTCCACTGTAATGAAATCTTGTTTTCTCCAACGCTGTACGTGGAACGTGAAGGCAGCATTAACCCGGAAACTGATTCTTCAGCGCTCATCCTTCCACATTCTAGGCACACTACTGATGTTTTAGTGTTTTTCATTGTTGTCTTTCGATATCCCCTTTTTTGGTATGTACCGTTCAACTCATAGAAATCTAGAAACTAACAAAAATGTATATTTTTTCCGCTCAGTGATTTTATTTTGGTATTATTTAAATTCATTGCTAGCTTTAGCAAGATAGCCTTAGCTGTGAACAACGTTTTAAACGGTTAATTAACGTGTTAAAACAGTTAAACAATCAGTATAGTAAAGTATTACTACCTTATGACATCTGTTTTTATGAAACTTAACTTGTCTTTAAGTCATTATGTTTTGTCATTTATTACTTGTAAAGTTTAAATCTAACAAGAGATTTAAAATGTTTCAGTTTCACCTCGTAGAAGCTAAACAAGCAAATAAAAACATTGGAAAAACAACGAACATAAGCCTACAGTTAGAGCTGTAGGCTCTAACTGCTTAATTTCTACTGCTTATAATAAACATATAAATAATTTCTGTTTGTGTTTTTCACAAATCAATAACAATAACTTAAATGCTTATTTAGCAGAATCTTATACCCTAATTTTTTTTAACAACACGCTGATGCTAACTCATAGCTGCAGTTATAAAACAAGCTTGATAATAGCAATGTAGATGACACACTTGTTGTGTTGTACTCACAAAAATAAGCCCAAACACCCAAATTGTTAAATTTTTATCAATGAAAATGTGAGGGAAACCTTTTTCAACCAGCTGAGGTGCAGTGTGCAGGTGTGGGAGGGGAGGCAATGCATTAATTTTTTGCCTTTCAATGTGTTTTTTTTTTTGTTTGTTTGTTTTGTTTCTGTTCTTCCTTTTTTTGTTTGAAAACAAAATGACTCTGTGCTGCAAGACATTTTGTTTTGACCATGTTCATTTGCACCCGACAGGAAGTTTAATCTGCTCTCTGACAACTACACTTAAAAGAATTTTGGTACAATATTAGGGGTGAAAATCACATCCATCATGGCGATTCGATTCAGTATCAATTTCCTGACCCAACAATTCGATTATTTCCGATACTAAAGAACACACCACAATTCGATTTGATTAATTGGTTAATTTTTTTTTTACCTCACAGGCTAGACAGTGTTTCAAATTTGGAATAAATCAATTTAAGGTGTAATATCATTATGCATTTTATTTGAGAAACAACAGCAAATAACAGAAGTAGCAAAATTTTACTCCACCTAGGCCTACGAAAACTTAACTCACTTAATAATGCCCCTGTGTTTACATGAGCATGTGTGCAAGCGGAAAGAGAGTAGTGGATAAAGGAAGCGAGATAGGAGGACAAAATAGGTTTAGCACCAGCAAAGCATGGGAGTCAGACTTACGTCCAAATGCAAATGGATAAAAATAAACATGAATCGAATGAATACTCTTGCGGACGTGTCGATAAATTAGATAATCGGCTGTTGGATCAATGCATCAATCTAAATTGATTATTATTTACACCCCTATACAGTATACAAAAAATACTCAGTTGTTTTGGTTGCTTAGAGGTTAAAACTTTCCATATTTCAAATGGGTAAACTAGGACTTGGAGTCAGTTCTTTACCAGCCCAAATCACAGCTTCCTTTCATCCCCTCTAACTTTACTTTTGTGCTTCGGAAAGATTGTTTTTCTTTCAACTATTCTACCTACATTCATTTTTTGTGGCATGGTTGTGTTTTTTGGTTTATCAATACCGGTAAACAATTTCATTTTGTTGGAGGTAGAGTGGGACAAAACGGGCATTCAGAGACTTTATAAGTGCAACTTTTTATGCATGTCTTTCCAGACTTTTTTCCTGGTCTGCTGTCTGCTTTTTTGAAACCTGCATTAAATCTGAACATTAGTAGGGGTATCGTTTATGGTTATCGCCTTGATAAGAATTTTGATTTATCTTTCAGATGATAGATTGAAACTAATCCTTAACATCTCTAAACAAAAAAAGGATTTATTGTCAAAATGTTTATTTTTACTTTATGTTTCTATTTCTTTCTCTTTTTTTCCCATTGTGGGATTCAAAAATTGAAAAATTATAATTCAATGTGATAATTGTGAGATGTTTAGTGATACAAATCACACTTCTTTATGTAACTGGTTTCCTTAAGAAGACTAAATTAAATTAGTTTTCTGCAGAAGTATTTCTGGAGCTGTGGTTGCTCTGCCATGCAAGCACATGCAGTTCCCTGAAAAAGACTTTGAAAAAGTAAAGTAAAGTTTTTTTTAACTTTGAAAGAACCCCAAAATATCATGAAACGATTTTAAGTCTACATTAAATAGCCCAACATTGGCGATTCCAGGTCACTAAGACAGAACCGGGCCGGTGGAGTTTTACAGACACCAAGACAATGTTTATTTTATTTTATTTTGTCTTGCAGGATGGTGCATTTTTAAAGCTGACTTTTAAAAAAAAGCCTCTTTTTGAGGCTCTCAGCAGAAGAAGATTCTTGGATCCAGCTGAATGAAGAATAGAAAGGATCAGTTTTCAACATGTCTGATATTATGATCAATCTGTCCTCCTCTGTTGATAACCCACAGGCAGGCGGTCCCACAGCAAAGCAAAAGAAGAACCGCAATAAGTTTTTAAAAAGAATGAAATACCTAAAGGCAAAGGGTTATCTTAAAGATAAACAAAGTAACCCTAATCAGAGGAGCAGCAATAACTATAAGCAAGCTTCCAACCAGAATGGATCTTTCCCCAAATGCTCTCTACCTCCAACTGCTGGTAGCTCTGGGGCTTCAACCTCTCCTCCCAACCCTCCACCAAAGTCTCTCGTGCAAAATGAAGGTAGCCAGGAAAAGCCCAAACAGCAGGGCAGCAGCAAAACAGCAGCAGTTGGCTCCTGTCCCTCGTCATCCAGCAGCCATAAACTCCTCACCTCCACAGGGAACCCCACAAAGTACCTCGCCATCGACTGTGAGATGGTGGGAACGGGACCCAAAGGTAGCATCAGTAAACTGGCCCGCTGCAGCATCGTCTCGTATGACGGGGACGTGGTCTACGACAAGTTCATCAAGCCCGACGTGCCCATTACAGACTTCCGCACACCATGGAGCGGTATTCGGCCCAGAGACCTCTTCAAAGCCACGCCGTACGCAGAGGCCCGCAGAGAGGTGATGTGAAATCTAAACACTGTCACGTAAGAAGGCCTTTTAAAACACAGATTACTGTTTTTCCTCCTGCTCCCTGCATGATTTTGTAACCGTTGGAACAGCCGTTTCCCTACGACTTTAAAGTTGTTAGAAATTTTCCGAAAATATCATCTAATAAAGAGTACATTTATATAAATGTTTAAGCCAGACTGATTTGACATTTAAATATGATTTCCCTACGACTTTAAGATTAAAATTAGAAGTGCAATAGAATCTGTCTGTTTCTCTGGCAACTGCCAACAAAGGACAACAGTGGTAAAAACTCTAAATTTA